GAGTCACCTCATGGGGTCTTGGCTGTGCCCAACCCATGAAACCTGGTGTTTATGTTCGAGTTTCCAATTATATTACTTGGATTAAGAATGTAATGGAAAACAACTGATCCTGGGTATGGCCTGCCCTCTCCTGGAATGCAGAATGCACATTAGAAATACAAGCTTTCAAGTGCAATATTAAAGCTACAATCATTCATAAGAGAGTAAAATAAATATGATCATCCATTTTAAATTGCTATAAATTAACAGTTATTGCCAAGAAACACAACTGATGGTGTGTTACCCTCCTTCTGTGTGTTCTGTAGTTTCCTTTGACAATAGACTTACCTCTGAAATATGTGTCAAAAATCCCAACCTCAGCTGTAACTGGACATCTGCATTTCAATTATATTAGGCTCTACAATGACTTTTACTTCTAAGGTGGACTTTGCCAAGTTGTTGTGCTTCCAGCAAGTGAAGAAATGAGAATACTTCTCATTTTCTGTAAGTTGTCTGAGCCTCTTATCAATGTAATAATGCAAACCAAAGAAGAATCTCACTGTACATCTTACATGCACATGAACTTTTGTTAGATATATTCAATAACATTAGATACGCAGGATGAAAAAAAGTAACAAACACACCTGGTTTCCTTTTCTCATATTTTTTATTGACATGGAAATCTGTGTGTCAGCAAAAGTACAAACATTGCATCAGAGATATAAAACAGTGACTAAAAATAACTTCACCCTAAAGTTAGTTCACAGTGAAGAAAGAGAATAACTGTCAATTGTTGCACCAAGTAAAGGCAACTTGTTTAATATATTATAAAATTTTGTTGTTCATAGTACCCACCCTATAGCCTATACTTGTTCATAGTACCCACCCATAGTACCCACTATATAGCTTTATCTCACTATATAACAGTTACATGTACATTTTTCTTCTCTAAAAGAAAATTATGTATACAGGCCCGTGGTTATTGGAAGTGAAAACTTAGACCTTTAGAGATGCTTCCCGGGGAAAGCTGGCTCACACTTGCCAAAGTGAATCACTTGCTAACCACGAACCCCTCCTCCCATCAGCCAGGGTCCACAGATGCCTGTGGACCCTCAGCTCTGTATAAATTCCTTCCTGTGTCCCCAGAGTATACTGAGTGAATCCCAAGAAACACAGCTACTTACAGGCCTAGGATTTGCCTTGCCCACTTTCTTCACTGCAGACATCCACTCCCAGGCATGTTAAATTGTACATAATTTACATTGGGTTTTTTTATTTATTTTGAATGCCTACATATACAAAAGGGATGGGTTGCATCCTAGAAGTTTTGCTGGGTATTTTTTTGTTTTGTTTTGTTTTATTTTTTCTCCTATAGACTATAAAGGGAGATGATAGGAGCTATACAGAGTTAAATAGCGGGGCGATTTTTGCAACTTCGATACCTGGGATCTGATCCTGGGAGAAGCAACGATCTCAGGGCATTGCTTTCCTCAGAAGGAACAGTTCTGATAAAGCATTCCTCACCAACTTCTCTGGTTGGAGAAGGGATTCACTGGGCACAAATACCCTCCTGCCCTCATTTGGATCATTAAGTCAACCAAGAAATATGTACAGTACATCAACAGAAGTTCTGTGTTGCAGCGTAGTCTTTGATTTGTAAAGTTCTTCAGATGTGAACTCTTGCACGCATGCTTAATACCTGGCTTGTAGGCAGACAAACTCACTCCTGCTGTTCTTGCCAAATGCACCAGAAACAGCTGGACATGGCTGAGCAGCTACAGAAGTCCCATCTTATAACTTCCTAGAGTGTGTAAATTGTGATCTTCTCCTGCAAGAGTATCAACGGCAGTTAAAATTGCCACTTATCACTAACTACTTGCACAGGCTAGATGAAATAATGAGCTAAATTTGGTGACACCAGCACATTTGGGCCAAGTAGAACAATCTCTCATTTGTTGGTTTGAGGAATCTCTTTGCAGGCAGAAATAATACAGCTCCTGCGTGTCTGAGGTCATGTTGAACGTATGTCTTTGGTGGTGGTAAGGTGATCCTTTGTCTGCTATGCACATCACATCTCTCACTGAGCCTCTGAAGTATAACATGGGCAAGACAACTAAAGCTGGCAGTGTTTGGCCTCTCTGAAGAGGTGCCTCTCACTGAAGTGGGTCATGACAGCCTTTAAGTGACATCCCATACAACTTAGAAGAACGCTACTCTCTCACCTAAGAAGTTTATAGTACTTACCTGTAAGGCTTAATATATTAAGTGTTTTGAGGCACATATGAATTTATAACTCCTCCTTATGAATATATAACAACAGCCTTTCTAGTCGTTTGCATGACTTTGGCTGGTTTGCCCTGGGGACTTCCCTTGCTGAAGTTCTCCCTTTGCTTCCACCACCTCATCGGCTTCCTCTCACCCACAGCTGTATAACCCCACAGAGACCAGACCGCTGGTCGTACCGCAGGTTACTACCCACTTCTCAACCTTCAGGAGACAATCCAAAGTCTCACAGAGATGGGAGGATTTTCCATCTTACAAAATCCTGCTGTTAGGGGTAAGAATTAGCACAGGGGCCATTACCAGAATCAAACTCTGCCTGAAGTTGTTAAGTACTCTCATATCAGAAGTCAGAACATATACACAGGTTTTTTCCTGCTGTCCTTTACATACAAATTTTCAGGAAACAAATACATCCAAACTTCTAAAATTGGTCCTGCATTTTACAGACTGAAATAATTCACTTATATTCTCTTCTGAGCAGCATATGATGCTATGCAAGACAAAGAACAGCCTGAAAGGCCAAAAACAAGTCTTTCTTTCTCTCACTTCTTGACACATTTTAGTTGTCCACAAACAGCAGCATCTGGCAAGTAATAATGACATTTCTCTGGCAAGCTGTAGCTCTAAACAATCCCCACTGTCCTTCTCAAACTGCAGCAACTGATGAAAAAACATCAAAATTCACAAAAACAAACATTAAAAGGAAGAGTGAGGCTCAGCTCACAGAGCATCACATTTGATTGCCTCACACTGGCTCTCTGAGGGCTGGGCCTGCAGTGAAGGCTGGCCGTGTGTGAGGACGTTAGGGCTGAGACATGGCACCAGGCCAGTGCAAACCCACAGCTTCCAGTTCAGGGCTGGTCTCTTCCAGCCAGCTGGGAAGTTTACAGCTGTCTGCAGAAGACTCTGTTGATGTAGGAGGAGGTTTCTTCCTGCAGCAGCAGCTCCAGTTTTCGGTTGTCATCTAAATATTGCCAATTAGCCAGACTGCTATAATATGAGATGCTTATTTAGTTCTATGACTTTCAGTCACTACTGACTTTTGCTAAGCATCCCATTGACCTTCAACTATGCCTCAGAGGAAGTTAGAAATAGCCTTGAAAGACAGCCCTTTATCGCTAACTGCTCAAAGTATGCAAACACTAGACAGAGATTACTAGGAAAAGCCCTGTTTTCTTCCAGCAGAGTTGGCGTTATGGGCAGTTGCTGGGAAAAGGCAGGGAAAGTCCAGAACTGTTGAAATGCATGGTACAATCCTCACCTGCACCCCTGGGCAGGTACCTGCCTATACACGCTCTTAAGATGGGGAGGCTGAAGCAGTAGTCATTCAGATGCACTGACTGTAATGTTAGCACTACTCATCTGTGGTATGAACCTTCAAAACTCAATCGTACATTTGCTTATGCCAAATACATTATTTTCTGAACTTAGAAGGCTCCTTAAAAGAGCTCACTGGCTTTCTTTTGGTTTTTTAAATTCTCTGTTGGTAACCTTTTCAACACCACATCTTTTCAAGGAGTGTATTCTTTACCTGTCCATGGGCAGGACCCAGTGCTTGATGAAGAAGGTCATACAGCTGGAAGGAAAGGCAGGCTGTCCCTCCTGTCTGCTTGCAGAGCCACAGATCCAAGTTATTCTGCAACATGCCAGCTTCAAACAATGAGGACCAGTTAACATTTCCCTCCATAACCAAAGCTCTTGTCTCATCCCTGCCCATCTTCCCAAGACAGCTTAACATCGCTGTCAACAACTCAAATAGTTTATCCCCAGGATAGAAAGATGACAAATAATAATAATAGACAGAAGGCAGAAATTGCAGGTCACCTTGGCAGTTGTCAAGGCAAAGGAATTTGGGTTGTAGAGATGGGCAGAGAGCATGTTTGAGCACAGAAAAAAATTCAGCATGCTCTTGAAAGACAGGACTGGAAAAAGTAGAAGCCCTTCCCTCAGAGACACAGAGGTTCCTGGCCAGGGGACAGGACAATGGGGTGTCACATGAACCCCAGCTGGGTCTGGGGGGAGGCACTAATATGCAGCAGGACAATCTGTCCTGCAGAGCTAATGCCCTGTGTAGGATGTGACACCCACAGAAAGCCCTGGAAAGAGAGGAGGGAGACTGCTGCCCCATTTCAGAAAGCCCTTGAACACAGAGGGAAGCAGGGCTTTTGTGACAGAAGCTCTCTGAGAGAGAGGATCGGACCAGGGTGAGGGTCTCCTGATGCACACCACTGATTCGCATCCCTCCCAACCAGAGAAAGAGTCTCCCTGATCAGCACCCTCCTTCCTGAGCCATGAGATCTTGTCTTTGTCCACATTCTCCAAAGGCAAGGGAGAAGAAGTCAGAATACTCATCCCCTCCTCCTCCTCAAGATCTTAAACAAGCACTACTGTTTCAAATCCTCCCCACCAAAAAGTGTATGCTAACAATAGAAATTAAAAAATGGCTCAAATATATAGTGAAATAAATAAGAGCTCACTGAGCTGAATAGTGCATGTTTTAAAAGCTGTTCTGTTCTTTACCAAGAATCACGGAGTGTTCCCTTCCTGCAAACAGCATAATCAGAAAAAAATTAATTTATTCCATATTTATAGAAAAATACACTGCTTGTTTTAAATGTCCTTATGCTTAGAAGAACACAAAGTTTAATTCATACTCTGCAACAAACTTCGAAGTGTTGGTGGAGAAAAAATTCCCAGTATGGGAAGACAGTTCTTTGCTCAGTGCTGTCCTTCAAATGTCAAATATAAGAGTTGGTATCCCGGTGTTTCCGTTTCTTGCCACATTTACCAAAATGACTGAAGAAAGAGAAAGGGAAAGGGATATAAAGGTGAGTGAAACAGGAAAATATGTACTCCTATTGTAGTACAAGCTGCAGTACCAAAACATTTACTTTCTGCATAGAAAGATTCTTCTTTCTTTAGTTGTACGTTTAAGCAGGCAAAATGTGTCAACATAATATCCAAAGCAACTGCTTGAAACATTGATGTACAGCATTAGCTCCTCAAGAAATTTAGCCAAGGTGTAAGTGTTGCCTGCACGCCTGCAGTGCAGTGAACAGTTTGGCTGGCTGTGTGCCAGCAATGGGAAAGCTGTGCCTACAACTCTTCAGATATAAATTCATCTTGCAGGTGACTTTTTTGGGACTTCACAAATTGTGAAAATGTTCCCATGATCAAGGACCCATCTTCACAGGATGCTTTGTTTGAGGAAATGGCTGGTTTTCCTGAGTACAGAGTTGTAGGCTAAACTTTGCAGTATCTCTCTTGCACACTATTAGGTTCTGCTTCTAGAGGCCCGCAAGACAGCTTTGTGTCTCTATGAGAAAAATACAGATTCTACCCCTATACTTTTTTTCAAAACAACCTTCCTTAGTGGTACTGAAAAGTTTACATTTCTATTGAAGAAAATAACACCTGCACATGACATCAACCTTACTAGGAAATTTACTTTGATACTTGGAAAACATCAACAATTTATGGTGGCCGGTAAGGTTGGAGGAAAACACCCTCAGGAAATCTCACCCAAGTAAAAGTAAGAAAATATATACCATACCTTGAAAGCTGCTCCACATCATCCACTGTCTCCGGTAAAGAGATTCCTTTTGTCTCTGGTAAAAGCATTACTAGGAGCCCACAGACAACTGCGAGAATACCTACAATGGACATTGAAAATCGTTACATTTTTTTTTACAGTAAGTTAATCTTTTACAAAAAGACCTTGTGGGCTAGGGGTTCATTTGCAGCCTGAATTGCCCTAAAAGGAAGATCTTAAAACTCAAAAAGTGCACACAGACAATATATACAAACTGCATGGAAGCCAGGATGGTATTTCTCATGTAAGACAAATCTGCCTTTGTTCAATGGACTCCATCATGTGTTTCTTGAGACCATTGAGATTTTCCTGAAATACTCTTTGTTTATCCATGGCCAAATCAGATTATGTGATTCAAAATAAAATTCATCCTTGGGAAAGAGCCAGTCTGAAATAGTTCATCAGGAATGGTCATTTTGGAATAATTTCTTAAATACAATTTAAATAATGTAATAAATAAAAAATAGAAGGGTTGGATCAAAAAGTAAAATGTTCCCTGAATGTTGTAGACTACTTTCTGATCCTTTCTGATTTTGCAGTTTTTTAATCAAGACAGAGGGAATTCATATGTCCTTCAGCAGCAGCAGCATTTCCAAATTAGATAATGAGAACAACCTAATTCTATATATGTCTATTCTTGGAATAATAGTAATCGTTTAAAATGTCTTTTGTCTTTTCATTTTTATCTTCAGCTAATGTTGTCATTAGTACCTTCTTATTCTATCCTATCCCTTTCACCTTTTTCCCAGCCATATGTGTCTCTTGGAAGTCTGGTTTAGCCACACTCTGATTTCCTTGTTGGGAGTAACTAATTTGGTTTATGTAGAATTATTCCTCAGGGCTCATTTTTTTTTCCAGAATGCAACTAAAGAAAAGAGTTTGACAGTAATACAAAATTATATTTAATACAACATCTCTAGTCAAGTATCTACCAAAAAATCCAAACCAAGTGTTTTTTAAAGGACATCAGTCTTTACTCTTGAGAGATGAGGCTTACTTCTGTGCAATTACAGAACTTAGCTGTAACGTTTCTCAGTCTTAAAGCACCTCACATATTTTCTTTTATGCTCATTCAGCTAAGTTACCTAAGCAGACCTAAGCTCTTCCATGTCATGCCTTGAAATCAGTCACTTTTCACCCTCAGCTCAGTTTCATTTTCAGTTCACCCTCTTGCTCTAGGCATGAAGAAGCCAATCTGAGGGGCACATGAGGCTACACAGTACACTTTTACCCCAAAAGAAAAGCTCTGTTGAGAGGAGGATATTTAAATTAAAAGTACGTTTTAAATCAAATCTTACTGAAAATAATTAGAGGTAGCTCCAACCAAACGGCTGCTAATCGGAAAACCAGGAATGGGGCTATGGTCCCACCCAGGTCACACAAACTTGAGCACAGGGAAACACCAAAGTTTCTGCAAAAGAAAAATAGTGCCAGATATTTAAGAGGTACTACCAAACAGATGAACCAGCAGTTTAAGTAGCAGTGTGTAGACTTAGCCCAGAAATAATCTCATCAGTATATGCCATCCAGGTTGAGCAGTTGCTATTAAGTTAGGAAACTGGAGAAAACCAAGTTTTACTAAACAGCAATGAAATAGGGAATGTGAAAAAGCAGAGTGAAAAGTTGAGAGATTCCTGAGAGCTTTCAACTTACCTCAGTGTTGTTGGGTACAATTCACTGTTCACAAGATAGACAATTTCAAAAGATATTGTGATGCTCAGTCTTCCCAGCGTGGCAACTGTCATTTTGAGCCATGGGATATCTGTTCATTTAAAAAGAAACCCTGGTGAAGTGCACTTTGCTGCACCAGCAGAACACTTCTGAGAGCTCCAGGCCCTGCCAGCAGAAGCTACCTCACAGAAACACTGCATCGTTGCAAATCAGACTGAAAGGCTGCTGTTGTACATATCAATATATAGTGACATTTATCGCTTTCCAGCATCATGTCAGGCTATTTTGGAGAATTAGAAATCACTTCTAGTCATTTGATTCAAGATGCTGATGGAGCATAACAGCATGAATGAGAGAATGAACTTTATAAGCTTCCATGACCACGTCTAACTTGTGCTCTGGAAAGGAACATTTACTCATAAAGGGAAGTTATACTGCAAGAAGCACTAATGAGTCATCTCCCAAGGCCTTCTACCACAAAGAAACTACCTCTAAAGGTACATGGAATCAGAGTCATTTAGATTGGAAAAGATCTTTAGAATCATCAAGCCCAACTGCAAACCTAACACTGTCAGGTCTGCCACTAAACCATGTCCAAAGTGCCACATCTGTATCTTTTAAATGTCTCCAGGGATACTACAGTAAAACAATTCTCTCTAGAGCGGGCTAACTACACTTTGTAATTTGTCTAGCCATTGCACATTAGAAACATAGAACCACAACATCCTTTTGATTGGAAAAGACCTTTAAGATCGTCAAGTCCAAGCGTTAACCTAGCAATGCCAGGTCCACCACTAAACCACGTCTCTGAGCTCCACACTCCTAAAAATGCTACACCTGGACATCTTCCCCCTTCCCTTCCTTGATGCTTGTCTTTGTACCCAACACAATCAGCCCAGGGGCCTTAGATCACACGGGTGGCTCTGCTCAGCTCTCCCAGTTCTACTCCAGCTCTGGTGTGCAGCCACTGCCCTTATACATCAGCCGAAGGTGCAATGGCCACATCTTCACTGCAGGACAGAGCCATTGTGTCTCAGCACATGCAACCCCTCAACATTCTGAGACCCCTCTCTGGAGAGCCGGTGGCCTCTGGAGGAGCATCACAAGGAACAAAATAAGCACTTCTGCAATGCCCGTGGGAGAGGACGGTCTCCTGTATGGTCTAACCATGACCCAGCAGACAGGGCAGTGAGTGAAACAACAAGCCTGAACTTGGCACGAAGGGGAGTTCTGCCACTGAGGAGGGCTATGACAGTGATTGTGTTTAGTCAAAACTTCAGTAGGAAGAAAAAGAAAATATTTCAATTGTTTCTGAACTAAAAAGTAGATGCTTGGGGTTATTTCTCTTCCAAAACAACCAAACAAATCCCCATCAAATTTCATCCCATGTTATGAGACTCTGCCTTTGCCCTGAAAAGTTCTGTTTTCAAAGACTTATGAGAAAAGCAAAAGCTATAAAGAAGAAAACAAACCCACATTGTGTCCCTGGCACCCTTTCAGTCCACCAGACCCCCAAGGTGAAGCTGACGTCTGAATGTCTCCTCACTCTGCCAAGGAACTCAAGCTGTGAGAGCACCCTAGTGTGATGAACCTCTCACAAGCTGCCACTGCAGCATTTCCCCATCTGTATAAACAGACTTTTCTTGAAAGCAACACTTGGACCTTGGGAGTCCCATCTTTGAGTAGGCTGTCCATAGGCTGTCCTCTCCTCACTTGAGCAGCATCACCTCAGCACTTCACCACTACTGAGAAAGAGGAGGCTGGGGCTGGTGGCAGCATCCTGCTGGCCCCAGGCCACCACTTTCTCACATCATGATGCTCCTACTCTAGCCCCAGACCTGCTGCATCATGCCCAGCTTATGGTGTGGCCCAAAGTACATGAAGGTACTGAGGCGAATGTCCTGCAGGATTAATTGCCCAGTATCTCTCTTTGTTTCCTCCTCCCAAAACAGCCCTAGCACCCCAGCAATCAACAGTCTCCAGTCCCTGCTGTCCCAGTTGACAGAGTGAAACGATAATGACACGGTGACCAGGTCCTCTGTGCCTGAACTGCTATGTCCTCTGTCAGGGAAGCTGCCACGGGAGCATGGGGTGGCCAGCATCCACTTGTCATGTGGTGTGTCTTGTGAGAGGCACAAAGCAGAGACCTGGTGAAAATCCACCAGGACAGCAGAGTCAATCTTCACAGACTTCAATGATCAAATCAATGAACGCAAGCAAGTGATGACAATGTGATATTGCAGAGCATTAATTTTAGATACTTTTGGAGGAACTGCTTTAAAGTGAGTTAACTGAGACAGAGGTGAACAGATCTCTGTAAAGGATTTCATTCTGCACTCACCACAAACCTGCCTGTTTTCATGGGCCCCTCCTATTCTTGAAGTGGCTTCTCATGGCTCTTCTCTAGGAAAATGATTGCCCCACGATATAACTTTGAGAACTAAAACTTCTAAGGCTAGCCATGACTGTCCCCTTGTTTGACAGGAACATCTCTGGGAAGCAATAAGCCTCTCTAACGTCTGTTCAGCTACCAGTCCCCAGCTACACTAAAGCTTCCCCAGGAATAAAAATAATACACAGGAGGAAAAACAGTTTAAAGAAAAGATAGGAGTTCTGGGAAGCCTGTGTGCCGGACCAGACCTTTTAGTTGTCCTTGAAACCAGATAGGAATGGCTTGATCAAAAGCTATATTTTTCCTCCAACTCCTTAACATTTCCCAAACCCCTGGGAGGGTGAGGGCAGGGCAACAATTTCCATGCTGTCTGCCACAGCCCCTACGTTTTGTTGTGGTTTGCGTTGTTTTATTCACAAATGAGAAGGACACTAAGCTGCCTCAGCTGAATCACTGATTTCTTACATTAAGTGTTGGGGAATGTATTTCCCCTTTATGTTTGTATACTCTCCCTTTCCATTTTTCTTCAAAAATATTACAGGGCCTTTACACACATGTTTTGTAGGACTACACCCAGCTGTTGCTCATCACCCATCAAAGATATGGCCATTACATATATGGCCATTTCAGTAAAGCATTTGACTTCGTCTCCCACAGCATCCTCGTAGCTAAACTGAGGAAATGTGGTCTGGATGATTGAGTAGTGAAATGAATTGTGAACTGGTTGAAAGGAAGAAGTCAGAGAGTTGTGGTCCATGGGGCAGAGTCCAGTTGGAAGTCTGTATCTAGTGGAGACCTGGATAAGGGAACAGAGTGACACACCAGAAGGCTTTGCTGCCATCCAGTGAGACCTAGACAGGCTGAAGAGTTGAGTGGAGAGAAATTTTACGAAATACAGCAAGGGGAATTGTAGAGTCTTGAAGGAACAACCCCATGTACCAGTGTAGGTTGGGGGCTGACCTGTTGGAGAGCAACGTAAGGGACAGGGACCTGGGGGTTCTGGTGGACGGCAGGATGACCATGAGCCAGCAATGTGCCCGCCTGGCCAAGAAGGCCAATGGCATCCTGGGGTATCTTAGAAGACATGTGGCTAGTAGGTCGAGAGAGGTTCCCCTCCTCCTCTACTCTGCCCTGGTGAGGCCACATCTGGAATATTGTGTGGAATATTGTGTCTCAGCTCAAGAGAGACAGGGAACTGCTGGAGAGAGTCCAGCGCAGAGCCACAAAGATGATGAAGGGAGTGGAACATCTCCCTTATGAGGAAAGGCTGAAGGAGCTGGGTCTCTTCAGCCTGGAGAAGAGGAGGCTGAGGGGTGACCTCATAAATGTTTATAAATATATCAAGGGGGGACGTCAGGAGGACAGAGTCAGGCTCTTTTCAGTGATGTTCGATGACAGGACGAGGGGCAATGGATGCAAGCATAGGAGGTTCCACAAAAATACTAGGAAAATTTTTTTCCCTGTGAGGGTGACAGAGCACTGGAACACGCTGCCCAGAGAGGTTGCAGTACTGCTTGCATCACCAGGAACTTTTTACTTGTATCTACAGCTTTGTGTGACCGGTTGTCCTTTCTTAAGGGGTTTCATAGAGAAGTCATTGAATTAGAGAGACTGATGCTGGGAAAGGCATTACCTTCTGGCAAGAAGGCACTAATGAGGCATGCAATTCCCGCCACGATGTTGCTTATTGCAAAAGGAAGGCGCCGGCCAATGCGATCAATTGTCAATAAAATCAGGAGAGCGGCAGGCAGCTCCACAGCTCCTGAGATGAAGAAGTCTAGGTAGAGGTTTCCTCCAACAATTCCTAGGCGCATGACAAGCCCTTGGTAGATCAGGGCACTTGCGAACCTAAAAAGAAAAGGGAAAAATGTTGAGAGGCAAACAAATGACTGCACGGAGATGGAAAGACTCTAAAATCCACAGGGGAATTTTTCTTTAAAAACCCACTGCCCTGGTAACAAAGTGGACTGACATGGGCACTCACCAGGCATACATGAAGATGAGCGTGTTCCTCCTCATCTGGGGAGTCCTCACAAGGTCAAGAAAAGAGGGGTTTCTGACCTCGTCATTGCTAATAGTGATCTGAGGAGAAAAGCAAGCAGTAGAGTCAGTCATCAGGGGTCAGGCAGGTACTGAGACAGAGTTTTTATGTAAACATGGTGCTCAGCAATATTCCAGTCCAGTGAGCGAAGGTGCTGACGAGCCAGCTCATTGCTTTTAGTGCTCCAGAGAAGTGTGCAGATAAGGGAAATAGCTTATAACAGCACATGGCTGTGGGCTTTCCTTAGTGATGATCATGCAAAAATCAGGGGAAAAAAATTTAAATCCCTAATCTTGACTTGAGAGTGGAAAAACAATTTCCATGTGATAAACTGAGAGAGGTTGACCTGAAATTTCTTGGAAGGAAATAAGTGGTCATTGTTATGTCAGCGTGACCAGGAGCAGAGCTGCCTTTTGCCAGAGGTGACAGAGAGGAGGAGACTGTGGCAGGAAGGGCAAGATGATGGGCTGAAGGAAGCAGGGAGAGAGGGGATGAGCAGCCAGCAACGGGCTTAGGAACATGGCTGGTGGCCCAGCTGGACAGCTGGGAGAAAAGAGGAATGAGAGAAAGAGCAGATCGGCGAAGGCACCTGCATGCTACAAAGCATACAACTACTCGTCGTGTCATCAAATACACAAGCATCGTGCTGAACATGGCTTTTACCCCGGAAGAAAAGAATGTTGCAAAACATGAATTAACGGTCCTCATGTTGCCTGCAGAATGTAGTAAATCTGTTCACAGCTTCCTCCAATACAGTCACAGTGAGGCACTCAGTGAAATCATTAGTTGGAAGGTTTAACAATAACAGAAAAGGGCAGGATTTCTTGTAGTCTGAGTTTACATACTGAAGTTCGTTGCCACAGGATGTTGTTGAGCCAGAATATTAGCAAGGCCAAAAAGAGATTTGGCACATTGATGGGGGCTGGTTTTAACTGTGGCCAGCAGCTTTTTAATCATGATGTCCAAGCCAGATGGCAGCCCTTTTGTTTGAAAGTTCATTTGGCAGATGGGGAAGATGAGGAAGAGAAGACAGAGATGGTCTTAGGCAGGGACAACCATGAGATCACCCAAGAACTGGCAGTAGCATCTAGGATGGCCATGGGCTCTTAAAGCAGCTGTGGGAAACACGGGATTAAACCTGTTGTTCCGTTTTCAGGAGGATTCCAGGCAGCCTGGATGCTTTGAGTCTCAATTATTGCCTCCCCACACTCCTGAAAGGAGGCCTATGACGGTAAAGAGAGGAGTAAACACCTCATAGCACTTACTGCCCACGCAGGTGCAGGAGCCCAAGAAAACTATTCCAGCCAATAGAGAGACACGGATAAAGGATGGAAAAGCAGATGGAAACATTCAGTTCCATGGTGAGAACACGGGTAAAGCAAAAGGCATTTCCCAAGGGGCTTATCAACTCAGCCAGGGCTGCACCCAAAGCTTTTGCCCTCTTTTTTTTTTTTTCACATCATAAGGTAACAAGATGTTTTTCAGTGAGAATCAGCTGGATGCATTTCCCCATGGCTTTTTCACGACCGAGTGAAACAAAACTTTGTAAATGGACAAAAAAAACTCCATGTTTGTTTGAACTTCCTCCGTACTCTCTCTTGCTTTTCTTCTGTAATCAGAGCCATAAGTTTTCTTCAAAGCACTGCCACTCCTGCTGCATGCCAGAGCCCTCTGTGGGGCAGGCAGAGGTTGCTGGGTTTTTGCACTGCTCTTGAACACTCTATAAAGCTGCCATAACTGTGTTTGTAAGAGCAGAATGCCAGCTATCAGTGGTGACTGTGCAAATATGTTTTTATTTTTCCAAAAGACTAAAGATAAACTCAGCATGGCTGATACCATATATTTTTATGTCTTAATAAAGTCATAATATCCCCAGGCATGACTGAGCACTTTTTATGGATGAAGAAAAAAAATCACTGAGGAAAGTCAACTCTTTGTAGGGAAAAAAATCCTCCTTTTGTTCTTTGAAGTCAAGGAGAGCTCTGCTATTCACACTAGTGCAGCCAGAAATTCAATGACAGAGCCCATGTTTCCAAAGATACACTATCTGAAAACTCTGAAGAAAGTTTTATAAACAATTTCCCTCACATTTTTATGTTCCAACAAAATTACATATTTTTTCTGCAATAATTTTTAAAGATTCCTCATAGCAGACCGAGTTCTGAACATGCTTAATTCTGCAAAGAATCATACATCCATGCATGTTTATAATATGTATGTATCTAAGTTAATATATACTAGAAACATGTATGTCTAGATATGTCTATATAGTACAAATCTATATATATTTATATACATAAAGGGAGAAGGAATTCTGATCCAAAACTCTCTCAAGAAAATTCTCTCTTACTCAGCTGATTGCAGTCTATTCTCCTTTTGGACAGAGACCAGGAATTAAAAAAAATAGCTTGACAATAAATCATGCTAGGATAATTATGAACACCTGAAAAAAAAAAAGAGTTTATGATTTAAAACTAATTTAATGAGATCTGGATGGCCCTGAACTCTACAGTGTCGTAACTCACAGGGCAAAAGAAACACTGTTTATCTGTTTTCATACAAAGGTCATTTGTCGTTCCTGCATGCCAGTAAAAATGCAAGGCTGCTAAATCCAGAGCTGCGTAAAGGACTTGGCCTGTGAAATTGTTACAGCTGTACTGGAAAACCTTAGCCAAAATGCACTGGTGGATAATGCCTCTCACTTCTCCCTGTCCCTCCCACCCTGCAGCACTTTGCCGGAAATTCTGGAGTTGCTTCGTGAAAGAGAAGTCTGACGTGAATTAATGTGAGAAATACACTTAATCCGTGACTAACACACTCATGGAGATGCTCTCTTTCCTCTGGGCACAGTACCAAGAATGACAGGCACTGTATGTTAAAAAGGTCCCAGGAAGAGATCCAGCATAAATCTGGATGTGTGGAGGTTAATCTGCTGCAGCTGTGAGTGGCTTAGGGTCATGAGCAGGGAACTTCCGAAAAAAATTAAGTACAACTTCAAACAAAAGCAGGGAAAGAAACATATCTCTGTCCTGACATGATGCTTTGTAAATGCTGATGTGTAAGGAGTCTCCTCAGAGTCTTCTCTTCTCGAGGCTGAACAACTCTGACTCTCTCAGCCTGTCCAACCCCCTGATCATTTTTAAGGCCTCCATGTCTTTCTTATGCTATGGGCCCCAAAGCTGAGCATGGTAGTGCAGGTGGGGTCTCATGAGAGTGGAGGAGAAGGGGAGAATCACCTCCCTCCACCTAGGTAGGATATGAAGCTGTGGGAACCCAGGTTGTCAACTACCTGTTACAAAGAACACACATCATGTTGTTCCTTCCTGGCAGGGCAGGACACATCAGTCTCATCTTCAGACACTGCCATCTCAAAATTTTTGCCTTTACACTCAGTGAAAAAGTTAAAAGTCAGATATGATCATTTTGCATATAAGACATTCTGTGGTTCTGTTACAACAGTGTCCACCAACAGGACAAGGGGAAATCGATTTAAATTGAAGGAGAACAGGTTTAGATTGGATCTTAGAAAGAAATTCTTCAGTACGAGGGTGGCAAGACTTTGGAATGGATTGCCCAGAGAGGCTGTGGATGCCTCCTCCCTGGAGGTGTTCAAGGACAGGTTGGATGAGGTCTTGAGCAACCTGGTCTAGTTAAGGGCATCCTTGCCCATGGCAGCGAGGTTGGATTAGATGATCTCTAAGGTCCCTTCCAGCCTAAGACATTCTGTAATTCTATGATTCTATAAAGAAATCAACGTGCATATGTGTGTATGTAGGCATAAAGGATACTACTGTATACTAATAGATAGACATTTTATGTAGGTCATTTCTTTTCAAGAAGAAAATTACAATTTGTTTCTCACATACTTGTAGTGTATGCAATATGCCACCTCTGGGCTGCTGTGTGCTAACAATTTGCGACTGTATTTCTTAGTTCAAATAATGATTTCTAAGAAAATCATTGCTAGCATTTAGCCTCCAGACCTGTTTTGTTACAGAACAGGAGCCTTATCTACATCTGTTGTCATCGCTGAACCATAAGGCCAGTTCCATGGCAAACATGGTCTGAGAGCCAGGCGTTGCCACCCAGTGCAGAACAAGGCAGATGTTGCAATGATACAACAGTGTCACTTTAAATGCATCAGCTTTTTCAGTTTCACCAAGATCACTTGTAATTCTGTATTTCTGTAATTCTGTAATTCTGTTGTCCTATTTCATAAATAGTAATCCCAGATAGTGCTTCCCATTTCATAAATAGTAATCCCAGATAGTGCTTCCCATTTTGAAATTTGGGGCATATTTTACCCATAGTGAGATGGAAGCAAATTTAAACTTAAATTCTGATTTTCTGCATCATCTTCTCTTTGTAAAAGCAAGTTCTAGCAAAAGAGTCAGGAAAGTGGGTCCTAATGTCTCCACCCTGTCAGCTAAAAGGATATCTGTTGTGGAGATATCATTGGACCTCAAGCTAGTTTCTGATATTTCCCCACAAGTTTTTAAAGCAAGAGTGTTGCAAACGAAAGACCAGATTCACTGTTTTGCAAACTTCTTTTTTCAGCCCATGCCTTTCCAGTCAGTTTAATTTTACCCTCTTGCAATTAACAAAGTAGGTATGTGACTAACAATCTTGTGCTGGTGTGACACTTCAAGAGTGTTGCCCATCACATAAAAAGAACGCATTTTACCACACCTGAACCTTTAAAAGATCAGGAAAATTTGGGAAAAAAAAGTCTCTAGCTCAAACAGATGGCAGTACCTCTGAGTAATGTGGTGAGAGATACTTCCCATTGTGTTTTGCAATGTTGTGCATAATTTTTAATGCCTTCTCTCCCTTTTTCCGTGTCAGGAGCCAACGTGGAGATTCAGGAACCACCCTGTAAGGACACAGAAGTCATAAATAGGGGTTTCATCCTTTAATATCATAAAGAAAACAAAGTCCTTTGCTTTTTGCCTGTGTTAATACACAACACATTGAATTTTCACTCTTTGGGATAGAGAAACATTTGTGGACTGTTTTTGCAGCCACTCTCCTGTAAAATATCTCATCTTGTGGTCAAGAAAGAAGGAAATAGACTATGTCAATACTCTAAAAAGCTGAAAAAACAGGAAATCTGTCTATTAACCGTTGTCTTTGCACAATAGATGTCAAAAGTATGATAATCAGCAAGAAAACAAGGTGCCTGTAGAACAGCAAGGAACAATGAGAGGTGGGTTTCTATGGCTGATGGAAAAGCAGACTTTGGTTAAGTTAACCAGATAAACAGCACTAGACTAAGCAAGACCAGAGCAGGGTTCTGCTGTGGCCAGCTGTGGCTGACAAGAGAGGAAGACCTGGGACAGAAAAAGGGAAGTAATGCACATCTGCAAGTCCCTAAAAAGAACTAAAAATGTCAAAATCAACAATATGCAATTACCTTCTTCCTAACCTACAACATCTTGTGTGCTGGAGACTTGGGACCACAGTAGGAGTCTAAAGGTAACCTGGGATGATTACAAGGAAGTTGCTTGTGTAATCAGAGACCAGGTTAGAAAAGCTAAGGCCCTGACAGAGTCAAATCTGGCCAGTGATACTAGAAATAACAGAAAAAGATTTTACATGTACGTAAGAGAAAAAAGAAAAACGAGAGAATATGCGGCCTCTCTGGAAGGATACAGGTGACCTGGTTACAGAGGATGTGGAGAAGGCTGAAATATTCAACAATTTTTTTTGCCTCAGTCTTCACTGGCAACCACTCAAACCACACCACTCAAATCATAGAGGGTGTTGGCTGGGTCTGGGAGAGTGAAGAACCACCCAGTGTAGGAGCAGATCAGGTCTGGGAACACCTAGAGAACCTGAAGGTGCACAAGTCCATGAGACCTGATGAGATACACCCACGGGTCCTGAAGGAACTGGCGGCTGAAGTTGCTAGGCTATTAGCCATCATATCTGAGAGGTCCTGGCAGTCTGGTGAGGTTCCCACAGATTGGAAAAGGGGGAACATAACTCCATCTTTGAAAAAGGAACTAAAGACAACCCAGGAAACTATAGACCAATCAGCCTCACCTCTGTGCCAGGTA